AAAATGGAAAGAGAAGAGGAAGTGGAGAGGAGGGAATAGGGAGGGAGAAAGAGGAGAAGAAAGGGCGCAGCTAGGCGGCGCAGTGGATAGAGCACTGGCCCTGAAGTCATGGAGGACCTGAGTTCAAAGTCGGCCTCTGACCAAACACTTGACACTTACTAGCTGTGTGACCCTGGGCAAGTCACTTAACCCCAATTGCCTAAAAACAACAACAACAAAAAGAGAGAATAAAGAAGAAATGGAAGGAGAGAGAATACAACAGAGAAGAAATAAAGGAAGAGATAGGGAGAAAGAGAATAGAGAGGAAATGGAGGGGGAGGGAAGATGAGAACGGGAGAGAGACAAGAAAGTAAATGGGAGAGAGAGAGGAGAAAAGAGAATAGAGAGGAAAATGGGAAGAAGGGAGAGAGAAGAGAAACTGGAGAGGAAAAGAGAAAACAGGAATGAAAATAGAGAAGAAGAATGGAGATAAGAGGAAAGAAGGGGAGAAAATAGAGAAGAGATAGTGGGGGGAGAGAGAGAAAAGAGAGATTAAATAAAAAGAGAAAAGAGAATAAATAGAGAAAGAACAGAGAGAAGAGAGGAAATAGAGGTAAGAAGGAACAGGGAGAATAGAAAGAGAGGAATTTTGAAAGCTTTATCCTCTGCTCCTAGCTGAGGCTATGGGGCCAGGATGGCTGGAAAGGAGCCTAAAGACCAGCTACCTCATTTGACCAGAAAGGAAGCTGAGACACAGTGAAGGGAAGAGATGTCAATTCAGTGGGCATTGATTAAGCTTGGAAAGTGCAAGAATGCAAGTTCCACGAGGGACTGGTTCACTTTGTCTTTGTTAACAGTCCCAGACTTCTCGAAGATACTCAAATGAATCCATAATATCATCATTTAGGAGTTCCCTCCAACAGTGTATATCCCAATCCATCCTATGCCTGCCTATCGTGTGGCATTCTCATCTTAGTCCTCCCATGTCCTTGTATGTCACAAGAAGCCCACCCAATGAGTTGAAGGCCTTCCTTGCTTTCTCCCAGCTTGGAGAAGCTACTAGTGAACAGTTCATCTTCTCTTTCTGTTATACATTTACCTTTACCCCTGTTTTTCAGAGTTGGTTCTATGTTGCAGCCTGCTCACTCAACCACAAACCTTTCCATTGTCCTCTGTGTGATGCTTATCTTGAGTTCTTCAGAAGCAATGAGGGAAGGGGGGCACTAGTGGGGAGCTCTGTCCTCAAAGCACAGCAGTGCCCTCTGCCTGCTGCCACACCTATCTTGGAAAGCATGTGAAGATGAGTAATGGAGGGCCCTGCTCTCCAAATCAGAACATACATGGCACAGTTATTCTAATTATTTCCAGTTCCCTAAACACATGGTAAAGACATGGACTTTTGATTGGCTGCTGATCCAGAAATGGGACTGTAAACCAAAGACTACTGAGAGGGCGGTTCAGTCCTTTTTCCTTCCCTGGTGTTCAGAGAGAAGTTTTTATGGGCCTCTAGGGCCATAGGCCCCCTCTCACCTAGAGCCAATCCGAAGCACATGGCCTTGCTGTTTCAGAAAGAGGCAGTACCAGCAGTCTCCTTTCCTTCCTGGGTGCACATGAAGCCATATTGCTTCCATTGTCTTTACTTTCATGCTGTATGGTGAAGGAATATTGGAGGTAGAACAACCTGGTAAGATTTTAAAAGCTTCAGGAATAGAGGCTCAGTGGCAGGAGTCCATGGTTGGGGCTGACAAAACTCTAACACAGCCCTAAAGAATCTTGAGGACCTAGAGGGCCACATGTGGCCTGAAGGCCACAGGTTCCCCACCCCTGATCTAAGCTAATTCCAAAAAACTCATGATGGAAAATGCTATCCACATCCAGAGAAAGAACTGTGGAGTCTGAAACTAGATCGAAGCAGACTATATTCTCTCTCTCTTTTTTTCTTTCTCGTGATTTCCTCCTTTTGTTCTGATACTTCTTTCACAACATGACTAATGTGGAAATATGTTTAATATGATTGTACATATATAGTCTATATCAAATTGCTTACCTTCTTAGGGAGGGGGAAAATATTTAACTCAAAATCTTACAAAAGTGAATGTTGAAAACTAAAAATACATAAATTTTTAAAAACTTAGCAGATAATATGTCTCTAAATCAGGGATTATTAACCTGGAATCTGTGAAATTTTAAATAAATATTTTCGATAACTCTTTTTAAAAAATGACCTACGGAGCCCAGACAAGCAATGGGTGATCCAGTAACAGAAGCACTGAATGGGGTCCTACAAGCAAGGGATCAACTCTGTTCATTTGCTGTAGCTCCTGCAGAAGGGAACTTAGCAGGGTAAATGTTATGTAGCAACTTTTAAACTGGTGCCCCTTAAATACCAGGGACTGAGGTGGTATAGAGGACACTATGCCCTGAGGTGCTCAGCGAGAATGGTTTATACTTCTGTTCTTGCTATATCTTCTCCATAAATATCCCTTTCTAAAAGCAAATTTGATGTTAATTGTTTAAATTATCCTGGAGCCCTAATATATAAAGGAGATTTCCTAAGGGAAAGACTGACTGTAATAGCTATTGCCACTGGGGGGAACATACCAGATTGGGGATTCAAGCTGATAGAGGAAACCTCCTTGCCCTTGGGATCCAGTCTAAGGACCCCAGTTTTTATAGACTATACTTGGATTGAAAAGATAGACCTTTGTTTTCATGGGGAGCTTGGGTGGGGGTGGGCGTCAGTAAAAGTGCTTTGCATTTTCCTGAAAGCAATCCAACCCATCCTCCTTTTCAACCCTGGGTCTAGCTCATTGTCCATCGATATTGTCTGCTGTTGGACAAGAACTGTCATAGGTCTGTTGATGTATTCAGTCACTTTTTGGGGAATCAATTCAGTGTAAGTTTTGGTTCTTGTTTTTTTTCCCCTAGCCTTTTGGTATCCTCCTTTAGCTAACCTTGTGAATCAGTCCCTCATTGCCTCACGATTGTATCACCCCCAGTATGGATCTTGTCCATATATACTCAATCCAAACCAGCTGCTTTCCCCATCTTTGTTCTTTAGTGCCAATTCTACTTCTGTAGGCCCCTTAGAGACTGTGATATTAGGACATAAGTGTGGTGGTTCCACTATCCTTGATGGAGAAAACCGTTTATTGTAATAATTTTGGAAAATCTTTTCAGATGTTCTTCTCTTTGTAGTTCACCTGCTGTTTTCATCCTTGAGTTCTCTTAGGATGACTGCACAGTTGGATATTTTGCAGGCTTTCTTTAGACTTGTTTTGTCTCTGCTTTATGAGATAATATTGCTCATAACTATCCATCATCCTTCTTCATTAAATTTCCCAGATGAATTTTGTATCCTAACCTTATCTCTCACTGAAAAAATCTAGGCCATTTGCCTGAAGTTCCTTCTCCTTTGCTCATCTCAAATCATTCAGATACCTTGCACTACTAACTCCTCCATCACTCTGTCTCACACGAAGAGTGGCCCTATATCCCTTCTCTGTTTCACAGCTGAACTCCTCGAAAAGGCCATCTACAAGCAGAAGCTCCACTTCCTTTCCTCTCGCTCTTAGCTCTCTACAGTATGGTTTCTGATCTCATCATTCAACTAAACCTGCTTGCCAGAGTTGCCAATGATTTCTTTCTTTCTTTTTTTTTAATGATTTCTTAATTGCCAAATCTGATGACTTTCCCTCCGGTCCTCATCATTTTTTACCTCTCTGCAGCCTTGACACTGATGATCTCCTTCTTTTCCTTGATACGCTCTTTTCTTTTCTCTAGGTTTTCATGACACTGCTCTCTCCTATTGCTTCTCCTACCTGTCTGACCTCTCTGTTTCTTTTGCCAAATCTTCCATCCAGGTTGAACCTGCTAACCATAGGTTTTACCAAAGTTGCCATCCTAGATTGGCTTCCCTTCTCCTGCTTCCCTTCTCCAACTGTACTTTTTTCACATGCTGGTTTTTAATTATCATCTCTGTAGAAATAGTCTTCAGTTCTATTTGTTCAATTCTGATCTCTCTGCTGACTTCCATTCTTGCATCCCCAACTACCTATTGGACATCTTGAACTAGAAGTCCTGTAGACATCTGAAATTCAACCTATCTTTCCCCTCAAATCTTCCCTTCCTTAGTTATCAATTTATTGTCAAGGGTAGCACCATTCTCCCTACCCAGGCTGAAAACCTAGTATCATCCTCAACATCTCATTCTCTCTCACTCCCCATATCCCATCAGTTGCCAAGTCCTGTCATTTCTACCTTCCCTGCTTCAAGTCTCTCCTCAGTCTATACCATCCTCCATTCAGCTTTCAAAACGATTTTCCTAAAGCATAGGTCTAACCTTATCACCCTCCTATAAACTCCAGAGGCTCCCTTTTAACCCCAGTATTAAATATAAAATTCTCTGTTTGGCTGATAAAGCCTTTCAAAACCTGGCCCCTTTTTTTCTTTCCAGTCTTGTTATAACCTTACTCCCCTCCACATACTAGCTGATCCAGTAACATCAGCCCCTCTGCTATTCACATAATACACACCATCTCTTAACTTCAGGCATTTTTACTAGTTGTCCCCTGGAATTCTCTTGCTTCTCCTCCCTACCTTTCTTCAAGTCTCAGCTTAAATCCCACCTTTTGCAGTAATCCTTAATTTTAGTGCCTTCACTCTGAGAGTATCTCCAGTTTATCCAGTATATATCTTGTTTATACATAGTTGTTTGCATGTTGCCCCCCATTAGACTGTGAGCTTCCCGATAGAAAGGACTATTTTTTTTTTTTTTTTTGCCTTTCTTTGTATTCCTAGCACTTAGCACAATGCCTGGTATACATTATGTGCTTAATAGACGTTTGTCAACTTGACTTTATTAGCCTGGTGTTGCAGTCATCTCTCTCTGTTTGGCAAACAAACCAAATAGTTACTGATTAATGTGCTC